ATTAAGCTTTAAATGAAAATCTCTGATTTGTTGATGTTTCGGATTCAAACGAAAATGACTTTTTGAGGCAAAATGACATCTTTTTGGTTCGAGTTGTCCAGTGAAGTGTACACTGCTTGCCTTACAAAACTCCCAGTCACTGCATTGTTTGTTGTGAGACTTCCCCCTGAGTGTGATTGGTCCTAATTGCTGCATTGTTTGTTCTGAGACCTCCCCCGACTGCAATTGCCTGCAACTCGCCCAGTACACTTAAGCAGTGCTGCTCTGTGAGCTGTATTATATGTTTTAGGCTGTATGATGGTAAGATGGGGTAATTATCAGAAATTAGTAACTAATAACATGTATTATCGTACAGTAACATCTATTGTTTATCACATACTGAACACTTTTTATGGCCGAGTATGTTTGATGATGCAGGCTCGATTTCGTCAGAGGTCAGTACAGTTCCTGTGAATGCTATAGTAGGTTAGGTCATCTCATAATGTACCCGCACACCTTTTGTCCTAACAGTTTGCCCTCCTAATAAAATCACTGGGTCTAACCTGGCCATCTCATTGAAATGGTTCTAGCTACTGATAATTTCATTGCATAGAATCTGGACATTTCAGAGGACATTGATGCAACCAGCTGTTGTGAATTATTCAAAGCACATCACACACGGTGTTTTCTGATAAGGCCTTTAGTGTCTTTTTATGGCAGCTTTGTCTTGGAACAGCGTTTTCAGTGTGCAGTCCCATTCATCCCTTGCTTCTATGTGCTGCTTGTTCTCATACACATTTCATGGTGTTTAAGTGTGCTACACAGTGAGGAGGTGTAAAATGCTTTACTGGGCCAACTCATACACCGTGAAACATCATGCTTATGTATATATATATATATATATATATATATATATATATATATATATATATATATATATATATATATATATAATATGCAGCTGTGTTGAAACAGCCCTGCTTAAAGGGGAAAAAACAGACATTCATCTAGATTTGGATTTGTTGCTTGCATTAGCATTTGACTCCATGCAGGGCAAATAGGAAATAGACAGACGATGCACACTGTGCGTGCAGGCATGAGACCCAACAGCAAATGGGGCTCATAATGGCCAGAGCATGTTTGGGAGGGCAGCTAATGAGGAAGCCCATTAGGCATTAATAGTGTTTTAAAGACCTGGGGAGAGGCAGAGGAAGGCACAGGCAAGTGTTGGTTATTGGATGCAGGCAAGCTCTGTTGAGCGTTGCTTGTTGGATAAAGTCAGTAGCATGTAGCTGCAGCCCAGCAGACTGATGATGTGAAGCTCCAGGCTGAGTGGATTAGCCACGGCCTGGGTGGAAGACCTTGCTTTTGTGGATGTAAATTACTCCTGCAAAGCAAATGGTAGAGGTTAAGGTTAAGGGGTGCAGTTTTCTGAACACATTAGAGAGTGAAAAAATGTTCTTCAAAATATAAAGGGTTAGCGTTAGCTACTGCCACAGTCATGTAAGCAGGTAAATTGAGCCTTCAAAATAAAACGGGTAAAGGCAAAGTCCTTAGAGGAAAGGCTATCCATTCAGCAGCTATATTAGCAATGCCCTCAGGCAGTTGTTTCCAGTTGTACAAGACCCGGCTCCCATCTACTCGAATGGGGACCTGTAAACCTGAAACTGAAAACCAAGCAGACATTGAAAAATATATTTAAGATCACAGTTAAGACAAAAATGGCATATTTGGCTCAAATAATGCAATTCCAGGTTGTTCTGGGGGCTTTAAGCCTTTTACCAAGAAGGTTATTAGCTCTTTTTATTGAAGGGAGAGGCTTACCATAATACAGTGTTATGAGCTGTCCTGTTCATATTTCAGTAAGTGAAGAGTCTCCTGCTCATGTATAATGTCTGTAGGTAAGGTTAGGGTTGGCTACTTCCCCAAACATTTTAGCCAGTTAGCTTAGAGAGTTTTTTGACATTATAGAACTTTCTGTGTGTTCAACAATAATAGGGGTGCAACAATTATTTGATTTAGTCAACTAAAATCAATGACCAAATTAATTGGCAACTATTTTAATAGTTGATTAATGATGTCATTACACCTCTTTCTTGTGCTCACTGGGAATGTTTTGACATTACCGCTTACTGGAGAATTGACAAAAGTGCGATGTGTGGGAGCATTTCACGCTAAAATCATAAAGAAGGCTGTAGTTGTGATATTTGTAAAGCCGATCTTAGCTGGCACGGGAGCACATCCTCCATGTTGGAGCATCTGAAGAAGAAACTCGGCGGCTCACTGAATGAAGAAGATTCATCTCGGTAAGATACGCCCCATCCCAAATCGCATACCATACAAATTCAGCGAACACAGGAGAGCGTTTGCAAACAGTTTTCTGTTTTCTGCTAACATTGGCCACCACTCACAAACAGTTTTAGGAGGTAGATCTCCGTGAACATATAGGGCAGCTGGATAAAGGGTTACTGCTGAAATGAAATGTTTACACAAAATCGTTCATATTTAACTGTTAACTGTTTGTAGAGAAGTTTGCCACAAACGTTTGCCGCCTTCCCGTCCACTCCATCAGAGCACATCTTCCCTGCAGCAGGGTGTATCTGCTCTCAGAGGAGAGCCAGCCTCTCACAACAGCACGCAGAGATGCTGACTTTCCTTCATTTCAATAAAGACCTGTGACTGTAGAATTTAGTTGCAACAGAGTGTAGACAGACAGCAGAATGCACGAAGCACAGACTGCACTGTTTAAAATTTGAATTTAGTTTTTTTTAGGTACTTGATTAAAGGAAAACTGATTTAGTTTTGTTATATTTTATTGCTGCTACTTTGCACAGTGAATTCTTGAATGTTATTCATCTTTATCTTCATTGTTAGTTAGCAAATGCATAATACAACCTCAAGCTAAATTTAAAAGTCGATAGCTACATGAGAGTTTGGTAATGTAGTTATTCATAATCTGAATAATCGGTTATTCGTTTCAGTAATCGATATATTATTCGACTATCAAATTAGTCGTTTGTTGCAGCACTAAACAATAATATTGGTACTACAGCATATACCTTCTTTGAAATACTTTACCCTCAAGGCTAGTGTAGCTAAAAAGTAATACCTTTACCATACAATTGATAGAGCAGCCTACCTGACCAAACACATGTCCTGCCTGACTTGGATGAGAGGATGTAGGCCTAACTGGCAGGTTAATGTTGTTTTGCAGTATTCAGTTTTTTTGTGGTATTTGCTAATGTTTTGGCCAAAGTATTTTTTTAAAGATCTATGAAATGTTCTATTTTAAAAGGTAAAGTTGATTTCTTACAGATCAGGTCAATGATACAGTGGTGTGTGGCAGAGGTGAACTAGGATTGAGGCTAGAAATAGGCTGGGGGGGGGTAAAGAGGTGTTTGAAAATGGTCGCGTAATAATGAATTATGACTTTGGTACACAAACCAACATGTTATAAGTGGACCTCGGGGAAAGATAAGCAATGTCCAAACTGCATACCTAAATCATCACTAACCTTGTATCCCCTAACCATATGACATTGTATGACATTGATATCTATAAAAATGGACAGATCTGAAGCAAACTTTGGACACCAAACTTGTCTCAGCATTCGGGTTATGCTGAGACGGGTGTAAATTCGATTTTTTGTCAGAATATTTCTTATATTTTGTGAGAAAGCCTCTTGTGGGAACTTGCACAGTCAGATTTAAGGTCGCTGCAGTTCTGATCAATACATCCTTTTTTAGTTTTAAATGCTGCATTATGTGCGCGCATCCCCCAAACCGCAGTGCTTCCCTAAACCTGTACCCACTGTACACACTCTAACCTCCTGACACTGCTTTTCAGAACAGAATGCCAAAGCGCACGATTCATGTCCAACCTAGCTATGTTCAGCACGGTTTTGGGTGAAAGCTCTCCATGCATTGTTCACCTACAGTTCAGAAATCAGTGTATAGTTTGATTCCTGTGAACACGCACTAATCACAGAGCAGCAGGCATGTTGCTCTCAGACAGATAACCAAAGGGAGATTAGCGGTAACAATCAGCCGGCAGCGTTTTTCTCTCCCCGCCCCGAACAGGGCACATGCTTTTGAAGCTGCATTAGTTTCGACGCGAGATGACTGGAGGCTCTTTTTTTAGCAGCTGAAGAGGTAGGCCGAGGTCACGAGCTCGTCTCTCTCCCTCGCTCGCTTTTGCAGGAGAAGAAGCTGAAGAAAAGGAGGAGGTTTCCAGAGCACGGTCCCCTCTCTGACTCTTCACCAGCCTCAAAGGATGCTGGGAAATGATTAAAGGGATGGCGTGAGATGAAAGTGGCTGGTTGAAAGCAACAGAATCTCTGCTTTCTCACCCAGGGGGTGATGGGTTTTTCAGAACAGGTAGATGTTCCACTTTGGTTTCGAGTAAGAAAAGGAAGTTGATGTTCCCTCCCACTTAAATTGATCTTAACGGCGAGGACGGCCGTGCATAGTCACACTTGGCTGGGCGCTGCGTACTTTATTTTTTGCGCAGCGTTAAGAGCGTGACTTTTCCATTTAAGTCGGCCTGAGGCTAAACATCGACCCAGTCAAAATAAAAATCCTTTGAAAATGAGGTCATCTGCTCTTATCCTTTGATCTGGTCATTCCTCATCTCACAGACGTGTGGCATGAAGAGGGATTTATCATAGCGACCGGCTTTGAACTAACAAAATCACAAACAAACGAAAGGAAGAATCGATCGCAAGTGTCTCTCAGAATGATGAACTGGCACTTCTGTGGAAAATCAATGGCTTCTCTCCTTCTCTCGTTCTCTGTCTCTCTCTCAGCTCCTGGGCTGTCTTCATGACTTGGTTCAACCTTGCGCAAGCTCGCTCACTCTCTCTCTCTCTCTTTCTCTCTTTCCTTTTCACTCTCTATATCTTTGTCTCTCACTTCTCCTCCCCTTACTACCTCCCTTTCTCTCTTTGTGGCTCTTCACAGTGTAAATTTTAACCACAGTGTTTTTCTTCTTCTCTGTTTTTTTCTCTTTTCTTCTGCCCACAGCCACAGTGAAAATGCATGGCAGTTTGATCTGTGGAGAAAGCCTCAACCAATAATGGCCCATAGGATAAGCAATATAAGTAAGTGCAGCTGGATGTATTTACAGTCGTATTGACTTTCCCCTCTTATTATCTGTCCTGCTCTTTGTGGTGCATGCTTATTGGCTGCATGTCTTAAAACTGTATCGACCCGCTATACTTTTAGTCTCTGTGGGAGGCTGTTGATTAACAGAAGCGTAAAAAAGAAACAAGACACTCCCACAACGAAGGCTTAGATCCTCACCCCTTTTCCTTCTGGGTCACCCAATATTTATTATTTATTTTACAGACCTTTACAGTCATGTTCTTTAATTCATTGTGACGGCTGCATGATTGACTTTGAGGTTAATGTTGCCTTAACAAATCATCCCTGTCCAAAAAAAAAGGCAACTTTACAGGAGAAGGCAAAACATACTTTACTTTTAATCTTATTCCAAGCAGGTTTGGAGCATTTCTGTTGGTCCATTCATCATGAAATCTTCCCACAATGTACTCTGTGCTCTGTGGTCTGTGCATCCAGCCTGATGCACCTGCACACCATCACAATAATACTTCATCACACTTGATGGATATTAGTCACTGTATTGCTGTCACATGTCTTGAGCTAAATGACACAGTACTTAGTGTTTGTATAGCTGTGGTAATTTGTTGAAATCTTTATTTGCTCTGACAAATGAGGAAATCAAGCATTTTCAATTCATTAGTCGCTGCATTTGTAGTGACCACGGCAGCCAATGAATGAAATTACTTTGCTGGTTTCATTTCGTATCTTTTTAGGTCTTTCTGATTTATGATATAAATGGCAAAATATAACTGCCTGTGTATCTGTGTGTGTGTTAGTCAAGTCTATTTAGCACATTTACAGTAAAAACAGCAAATGCTGACCGAACATATTGTAGAACAGATAGAATTGTAATCAAGAATACAGAAAAATAAAAGGCCATTCAATAAAATAGGAAGTCAGTGAAATAAAATAATAAGCAACTAAAATAACACAAAAACAGTCAAAAAGTCAGTGCAGCACAGTAATTACATAAAACACATAAAGGAGCTAACAAACTAATGCTGAACAATAAAATAAAATATAGCGAGAAATGTATAAATACTTAAAAGGATATAAAATGCAGTAATGTGCAAAAGTCTGAGACCACTCTTCATTTATTTCATTTACAGTAAAAATAGCAAGTTATACATTTTTCAGTGTCAGAAAAAAAGCCTCAACAACTAAATACAATATTTTTTCAGTATTTATTGTGTCTACATTTTGCCTTTATTACAGCTTCCATTCTTTTCAGAAGGCTTACTTTCAGTTCTTCCAAGAAATCTGCAGGGATTTTTTTCCACACCTCCAAAGTTCATGGTCACATTTTCCGCTTCTCACAGTCCAAATAATCCCAAACACATTCAGTGATTTTAAGGTCTGGACTCTGACTCTTCTGAGAACAGCAACAGCTTACTGTTTGACCTGCAAATTTTCTTCGTTCCTTTTTGTCAGTAATCTTCTTGACAGCTACACATCCTTTCAGACCCACAGTGTTGTGTTGTCTTCTCACAGTGGAAGGATGGACAGAAACTCCTGTGGATTTTTTCAGATCTAAAGCAAGAGTGATGCTTGATTTTCTCCTCTCTCTAGTAGACATAAGCTTTAAGTGATGTTTACCTGATAGTGAAAGTATTGTTGTTCTCTAAGGTCTTATTTTCCTTTTACTTTCCCCATATGCAAGTTTATTATTTTATGTCTAATCAGAAAATGAATAACTTGCACTTAATGGCAGTTTTGACTGGAAATTAAATAAATGAAGGCTGGTCACTGATTTTGCACAACATTGCAATTATATAGATATTCAAAATACAAATACCAAAAACTTGCAGGCTTAGTACAAGAGAGAGAGAGAGAGAGAATGAGAGAGAGAGAGAGGCAGAAATAGAAAAGGTTTGTGTGAACATTTGAGAAAGAGAAAGGTGTATGTGTGTGTCTGACAGTTTCAGGAAGTTCTTTCAGTCTCCTCAGTGGTGAAGAGAGGGCTGTCACACACACACTGAGAGAAACTCACATCCTCACACACGCATCTATCACACACACACAGAGAGAGAGAGAGAGAGAAAATGAAAAGGAGGGAGAGGAGTCAAATAAAGGTTGGGAGTCAAACAGTGGTTTCTGTAGGAACCTCATTTGAGTAACAGTGATATTTGCCATATTTTGCCAGTTAAAAGAGCGTTCCGGCTTTTTATTGTCATGATCACTGAGTCCAGACTCAGTCTAATGTAAGCATATGTGAAACACCCATTTGCTGTGCTTCATTAGAACAGATGAAAATGGCTCAGATTTAAAGAGGCTGGTTCCTGAAGACACTGTAATGTGGAGGAAAACATTTTCATTAGCTTCAGTGTTCCAGTCTGCCGGAAAAGTTGCCAACCAGGAAAGTTGGCAGCCATAAAGAAATAGTCTTTTTAAAAAGATAGAAATAAAGAAATAATTAGGGTTTTTTTGTTCAACCCTCATGCTTAAACTATGAGTCATGCCCCATAATACAGTGCTGTTGTCACCTACAGTGTGAATGCACTGGTATCATCATGGATTTATTGAACTCGATGCTGAGCAGTGGAAGGTTCTGGCGTATTGAGATGCTGTTCCCTATTTAGACCACTAATGCACACTGCAGTAGTTTCATAACCACAATCATCCACTGTGATCCATAAATCTTTGTCTACATTCTCCTCTTTGGAACACATCAATTGAAATTAGACGTGTACAGAAAGAAAATGTATACTGATAGATCATACAATACAATCATTGTTACTATAAACAAGTAGTTCATAATGTATTATTATGAAATTAATTTATTCATGCTCCGCCCACAAATGTGTTCTTTCATAGTGTCTGTGAGATTGGACACGCTTTACAGAATGTTGATTAAAAACACATTTAACCTAATTGTAGGACACTTCCTACATAATGCTTAGTTTCCAGTTTGTAATGTTATGCTACTGAGCTAGCCTATGTTGCTGCAGCTAAATGAAACTAAATGGGTTAGAAATAACAATGATGAATGCTAACGTTAGCTTGAACATACAAGAGCAACCCAAGCTATCCCTTCAGTGTTACCTTTTACATGAATACAAAATTAACTAACTAAATTTGAAAGTAATTACAAACTCACTGGAACGAGGCATGATAGTGGGTGCCAGATGGATGGAACATTCTATTTCTGAAGTTGTGTGGGCATTTAACGTTCCTCGATCCACAGTGTCACGTGTGCACTGGGAATACGTCATAGAAGGCATTACCACCCACAGCGTACAGCGCAGTGGCCGTCCAAGGGTGCTTAATGATCGGGACCAGCAGCCTGTGGCTAGAATTATCCATTTAAACAGACAGCCAACTCTGGCAGAAATTACATTCACATTCAATGGCGGAGGCCCCACACGCTTATCCTGCAGGTCAGTACAGCGTTCTTTAGCTTCAGTGGGACACAGCAGAAGACCCACCAGAGTGCTTCTGTTAACACCATGACTCCGGACACAGTGCTTCACCTGGGCTCATGAGGTTGCTAACTGGACTCTAGAGGGCTGGTAACATGTAGCGTGGTCCGATGAGTCATGGTACCAATTGTTTTGGGCTGATGGTAGGGTTTGTATGTGGCGCAGACCCCATGAAGACTGGTGATCGCTACATTTCACTGCTTGGTGACAATTTGCAGCCCTTCATGGACTTCATGTACCCCCACAATGATGGGATATTCCAGCAGAGTAATGCATCATGCCCAAGTTGTCCAGAATTGGTTCTAGGAGCATTCTGGAGAGTTCTGATGAATGGTGTGGCCTCCACATAAGCCCCAACAAGCATTTATGGGATGTGGTGGAGGGCCCTTCACACTCGACATCCTGCACCTACAAATACCACAGAGCTGTGGTAGGCTATCCAGATGGCATGGCTCAACATCCCTCCAGACGACTTCTGTCCACTTGTGGAATCGATGCCACATTGGGTTGCTGCCCTTCGCCAGGCTAGATGGGGTCCTATACGATACTAGTTCCTGTCCCATGACTTTTGGCACATCAATGTATAATCACTTGCATTGTTTTACAGACAATTTTCATATTTATCACTGCAGAGGCTAAAGCACTAAAGTTAATGACGGGAAAAGTTTGTGAGCACTGAAGTTGTTTAATTATGAACTTGTATTTTTTTTTCCCATAAAGTAGTTTTTTTGAACCAGAGCAGACTAGAGATTAAATATTCCAACTGCCCTCCTACTGTCAAATCTTCCATCTACATCATCTTAGTGCCTTGATTTACCTGGATTTAATGTATTTCACAAATACAGTAATTAATGCAATAACAGTGTTGATATTTTTGTTGAGTTTATAGTTAATTCCCTGTTTCAGATAAAAAACAGATAAAGAATCGCCTCAGGGGGCACGTAAACAAGGAGCTAGCAGTAGTTGCAAATGTGTTATTTGTGGCTCGAACCCTCGTGCTCCACAGTCAGGGGTAGATGTGAAGATGTTGCCCTCACCACACACTCTGCAAATATCAATATGGATTTACAAGTCTCCCCTGCAGCAGGGTCCTCAGCTAATTAAAACTGTGATCAGTCAGCAGTGTAAAAAACAGATTGGGGGGAAGATGCATGTGTAAACGAAACTCGGTAGAGTTTTATTAAACAAAGAGAGTTAATTAGGTCAGGATCGTTCTCCTATTAAAACACATACGTTTGCTGTTGAAGCTGGTCGGTTCTTGTTGGCAAGGAATGGAGGAAGGTGTTTGTTCTCTTTTTTTGTCTTTTTTTTCTTTAATCTAAAGTTTTGCAGTAATTACAGTCTCCATGTATTCCTTGAATCCGCTTTAAATTTCAGTGAGTAAATGGCTTTTAAAATACGTCTAATCTTTCATTTGTTCTGCCAAGCTTTCATCTCATACCGACTTACATAAGGCACAGTACAGCTTTTTGTATGCGTATATTTTTCAACCATAGTGACATAGTGTACTGTATAGACTAGCACCATGGACAGCTCCATGAATCTCTATCACAGAGCTA